TCATCAGAACTGTAGAGTTCATGACATCTAGAACATTGTCCAATTTCAAATTTGTCCATTCTTACTCCTTGTGGAAGAGCTTGAATCTTTGTGGTTGAATTAACAAAATTCTCCGGTGAGACTTTGAGTGAGCTACCGCAAAGGTTGCAGTAGTCATAACTTCAAGGACAATTGCTTTTAGGGACACGTCAGGCCCTTCAAGGATTATCTCCTCGTCAACATAAGATTTTGGGGACATGTTTGGTCCTTCTAAAATGATTTCCTCGTCCACATCAGATCCTGATCCATGACAGATTGTTCCAATGACTGGAATTGAGTGATAATCATTTGAGCGTCCCAATGTTTCTGGGAGAATCTCTTCGATCACACAATTATTGCTCAAGTCATGAAGTTTACCAAAGTGACATTGGATGTCTTCAGGGTAGGTCTTGTTATTGATTGGGATGTGAAAGGTCCTATCAGGTGGGACATATGGGTGTTCGACATCAAACCGTGGTGGAGATTTCTCTCCAGTGTTATATCCATTTGACCAACCCCAATTGTAACTATTATCTACATATCCGTTATTAACTAGATTTTTTATTTCTTCGCTTTCATTAAAGAGCTTTTCTATTAATTGATTTAAACGTACAATTTCTGCTCGGGCTAGATCCCATTGATTAAAAGCAACATCTAACTGATTTTCACTAAGCAACCTAACATCTTTCTCTAGTTTCAAATTTGTTTCTAACATAGTGATCTTAAGCCTATTGTCTTCTAGTCTTCCTCTTAAGTGGTACAGCTCTTGGGTCGCTATGTTCTTTTTATCTAAGGCTTTGTTATAATCTATAAGGACGTCAGTACACTTTGAGTAAGTTTTTCTAGGTGTGGTTCACAGTCATGCATGTTATAATTGTTTGAATGAATCATAAATCTTACATGTTCAACGATACTGATGTTCCCTTCTTTTTCCATGAAGCAGTAGTTCTTCTTCAACCTTGTGGATATGTCTTTAGTATCATCACCTTTTCTTGCAACGAGACAAAACTTGCCTCGCTTCCTCATGTGATCAGTTTCATCATCTTCATCTCCCGAATACCACATTTGATGGTTTCTTCTCACTTGTGCCACAAAAGCTTTTTCAATTGCTTTCTCCTTGTCTTCAACCTCTTGAGTCATTCTGTGATAGAATGATTTATCCTTCACCACATTAGCCTTACAGTCTCTAGCAAAGTGATTTTCCTTGCGATATTTGTGGCATATGAGAAATCCATCTTTCTTCTCTTCGGTGCAACTACGGTGTCAGAAGGTTTGTCTTCTTTTGGTGCTTCAGTGGAGTTGGTAAGCATCAAAGGTGTGTTCTGAGACTGTGGTTGATATGGTGGGTTTCTAGGATATCTGGGGGGTTGAGGATAGTGGTGAGGAGAGTTTTTTTGTGCATTGTAATTGCGGTTAAAGGGAGGTCTGGTAAATTGCTGATTTTTGCGATAGTTTTGGTGGTGGAAGCCTGTTGAATTGTTGGCTAACTAAGGATAAGGCATTTTGAAAAGCTTCTTCGTCACCAGGTTGCATCTCCGGTTCATATGACTGCATTGTGTCATCATATGAGGTTTGGTATGAGGATTCTCCGGTATGAGGATACTGAGGTGGTCTGTTAGAATACGGCGGTGAGTGAGCGACCAGGGCGAGTGGTCCGCCAAGATCCATACAATCTTTCATCATCGTAAATTCTTGAGCTTGAAGTTCACCATAGAGTTTGTACATCGATAGGGTTTTGATTTTGATGTCTCCTTAAACTATCATCTTTGCCATGGTCCATTGTTTTCGTAAACCATTCAGGAACTGCAGATTTGTTTCATGATCACTTCGAGTAATACCTGCATTTGAGAGTTTGGTGATGATGAGGTTGAATATTTTGAAGGAATCATCAAGACTTTCTCCAGGAAGAGCTTTGAATATGTTAAAATAGTTAAAGGTTGTGGTCAACTTCTTGTCTTGAGCTTGTTCAGTTCCTTCATACATATTTTTAAGAACATACCAGACTTCTTTTGGAGATTTATAGTTAATAATAAGATCAAAACTGTCAGGAGGAACTCCACAAGAGATTTCATAGAAAGCAATTTCATCTTTCTCTATCTTTTCAATGTCATCGTTGGTAGGTCTGGTCATGGCAGCTTGACCACCTCCAATTCTGGTTTGAGTTCCATCTGTGCAATGGGTGTAAGGATAGCTACATGTGGTCCTTTTTCTACAGATCTTCAAACTTCCTTACCAAGTCTTCTTAAATATATTTCCATTCTTTGAGACCAATGATGATATTCACTTGCAACAAGTATTGGAGCTCGATTAGAACCATCAACACTGTTAGATACATTTAATGAGTAAAGTTGTGCAATTTTCCTTGTTTTTGAAAAAGATGAGCTAAGTGGTATAGAAGGCCTTTTAAATCAGAGTTTTTCTTTAGAAAATATTATGGATTTTCAAAAAAAATTAAAAAACAACTATTATGGCTCTGATACCAATTGTTGAGAGAAGAACTTAGTTATAAAGAGATTATGACGCGGAATTTAAGTTAATCTCGTGGGTCTTTTTAAAGCGCAACAATAAAAGATAGTGAAATTATAAAGGAAACATAACAACAATATGCATCATTAAATGTAGGCAAGTTAAACAGATACTTGTTGAATCATAACTTGGTTTGCATCCAAACACAAGTTATTAAGTGATGAACAACTAAGTATGAACAGAGAGATATGAATGATAAGGAGACTTGTTTATTGATATGATAATGTTACAGAAGGATGGAATCGGGCATACACTCAAACGATTACAAGATTATCTATTTATACGAAGAAATAATACAAGTCTACAAATAAGATAATCAAAAACAATTCTGATGTAGACGACCATGCTTCTCACGCTTGGGACTGACAAAACCAACCTAACACACAACGTCAGAAAATGTGATCATTACTTTTCTGACACTGCGGTATCCACAATAGATAAAAGCTTTCAACTCTTCGTGTCTCCTTATCTTCAATCTTGAAGTCTCCAGTCAAGACAATGCAATTAACTCCTCGCTATCACTTCGCTTCCAAACTCTTCGCTATTCGGTTCAAAACAAGTCTTCACTTCTAGATACACTTCATAGCTATTGAGGGTCACTTTCGTGTATCAACAGTTTGACAAACCAAAAAGTAGCTTAAAATCTAGTTTTTTTTAACACTACTTAGACTAACTTTTTTGAAAATTACTTAAACTAACTTTTCAAGAGTTTTTTTTAATTGTTTTTCCAAATATACCTTTAATTTATTATAAAAATCATATTTTTTTTCTAAATGTCATTTTATATCTTCTAGTCAGCTTATCAACTAGTTTTATCAAACGTTTGTTTTTTATCAGCTAACTTATAAGTTGGCAGCTAGCTTTTCAGCTATTACGCCAAACATAACCTAAAACAAAAAAAAAACATAATAATAAAAAATGATTAAAGATATAATTTGATAAATCTAAAAAAACTCAAGTCAAATATACAAAAACAAAGATTGACTCATGTTAATTATTTAAAATTTGAAACTTTATCTCACATATGTTATTTTATCTTTATCTCACGTTTTATATATTTTTTAAAATTTATTTGTTGCTTGACTAATTGTTATTAATTATAATTTTTTTATAAAATAAATTTATTTATTATTTAACCGATAACTATTTTAACTTTTCGTATTCCCATGGATTATTTGCTCGTGTGGCATCAAAGTTACGATGAATTACTTTCTGACTAGCGAAATTTATTTGTTACTTTCTCGTGTTCCCATGGATTATTTGTTCATCCCATTATAAGACAATGTTGATATATGTTACGTAAATGTTATGGACATTGTAAAATAAATTGATACATTCACTTGATTAAAAGACTATTGAAGTATGAAAAAATTCGAAAATTTGAAGGAAAATATCAAAAACAAAACGGAAAGAATACCACAACAATTGATGAATAAACACCATAATTGTTATTGATAAAGTTCTCGAATATATTACTAGACACTAAGGCATAAAGACAAACACGAGATGAAGTAACAACTCCAATCCTACAAAAACCGAAATTTAATTCTCAAATTGATATGTTAAAAACAATACACTAAGACCCTATTTAGAATAGAAATTAACCTAATTGCCATGTGATACTAATTCTAGAGTAAGTATAAAAATTACCTAATAAAAATGGGAACCAACTTCTAGAATAAGCATACTAGAATCATTATTTTCACTATGTGATTAACCCCTTATCTTTATCTAAATATAGCTAAATTTGGCATACTACCACTTTTATGTGTTTTTATCTTCCCTTTGAGTTTCCTGCAGTTTGGATAAATATTTTAGCCGTGTTTAGACTTTAGTAACGACCTTTTGAAAAAATTGAGGAGCTCTTAACTTTAAAAAAAAATGGTTTGTTTAAAATTTTATTTTAGAGTAAAAAACTCCTAACCAAAACCTACTTTTAAGTAGCTTTTGAAAACTTTTAATTTTATATATTTCAACAACTTACACACTAAACATAAATAAAAGTTACAGTTTTTTTTATCAAACAAACCCTTAATGTTTATGGATCAAAACTTGTTAGGATGAATGTGAAGCCAAATTTTGACTTTCTAAGACCATCTCCAATGGACCTCCATTTTTGTGTTATAGAAGCCAAAAATACTCCAATCAACCACTAAAAGTGGCCTCTATTTTTGTGGGAAGAAATTTGACACTATTCATAATACCAAAACCTTTTAAATGGTATTATTTTACTTGCTTTTTAGTTTTTATAATTATTGTTTATATTTTATAATATTAAAATATGTTTTAGTATAATTTTTTAGTGTGGTTGGAGTTAAAATGAGTTTTGGTGTTAGTTTTACACAAAAATGGTGTAATTTTTAGTGATAAGGTTGGAGTTGGTCTAAGATCTTGAACAAACCCGAAGATTGTAGATGTAAAAATCAAATTGGTAAACTTTGTTAAATATTGCATCCTTGATTTTGTTTCCAACAATTTGATATTATTATCTCTACGATTTTCAATCTCTTGAAAACGAAATTATGATTAATCATATCCAACATGTAAAAGATTAAATGATTAATCATCTAATTCACAATATAGAAATACACCAAGAACACATTTATGTCCATATAACCATGTTCTTCTCAGCATAACTCATTGGGTTGTTTCCAGTTCCTTAAAAGACACCCAAAAATGTCGCAACAGCAAAAAGTAGAAATAATACTCCTCCCAGATACCCAACCTGACAAATCATTGCTTCAATTAGATTATTTGTTTTTTATAATTCAAAAATGACAATAATTTTTTTTTTGTTTTATATAATTCTATTTTAAGGTTTTAGGGTATTAAATCTTTTATTCTTATAACAATTATATTAATACATACAATATATATTTTACATGACGTTCAATTTGTTAATATGCAATTCATTTAACAATATATCTTTATTTGAAAAAACTTATTTCTATAAAATAACATATTTTTGTCATTTATGAGTTTAATTTCATTTAGATTTGTAATTATACACAACAAAAAACATGTTTGAATGACTTATTTTGTTTTCTTCAAGCCAACCAAACATGACATGATGAGAAAAAATATTATTTTGTTATATAAGTTCTGTGGGATTTAACTCTATTCTATACATTAGTTTAATGATTATTATTAATGAAAAGGTAATTAAACCCCACAGAACTTATAATAAAAATAACATGTTTTGTTATTTAACCAAATAAAATTATAATTTAAATGATCAAAGAAATTTGTGTCATTAAAAGTTTTAAAAAAATGTGTCACCAAGAATCACATAAATATTAAGCTATATTGCAATTTTTTTATTCATTCCATGATGAAAAAAAAAACACTCAACCTGGACTAAGGAATGAACTTTCAACAAAACCAAAGGCAAACAAAACAATTTTTTTTCTTCTTAGAGTAAATTACACGAATAGTCCCTATGGTTTAGGGTAATTTGCACGTTTGGTCCCTAACTTATTTTTTTAACTCGGAAGGTCCCTACTGTTTGTTTTTGTTACACGCTTGGTCCTGTCTTACCTAAAAAACTATTTTGCCGTTGATTTTTTAATTTATTTAAATAAACACACCCCCAACCCCATCCCCACACTTTACCTTACCTACCCCACCATTTTTTCCTATTTAAATACTAGTGTTTTTAGGTAAGACGGGGACCAAACGCATAACAAAAACAAACAATAGGGACCACGCGCGGAACAAAAACCGTAGGGACTTTCCGAGTTAAAAAAATAAGTTAGGGACCAAATGCACAAATTACCCCAAACCATAGGGACCATTCGTGTAATTTACTCTTTTTCTTAAAATTCCTATGGAATAAACCATTCCATTCCATTCCTTTGCTGATTCCATCATACCAAACACTACCTAAAAATTTTCAAGGTAGATAACCTAATCAAGTCAAAAAAAAAAAAAAGAATTACCAGTTTTTCAGAAATATAATTGGCAAGAAAGGCCCCTCCAACTGCTGCTATGGAGGTTGCTAGTAGATGTCCAGCTATGGCTCCACTTGCCACACCCCATGGAGACTGTCATACAAAAAAAATATATGACTTTTGGTTTCATTAATTTTTGACAAATCTTGATAAATGGTCCCTGTGGTTTCCAGGAATATCAACTTCAGTCCCTAACTTTTTCCGATCTCATGGAAGGTCCTTGTGGTTTCATGAGACCGGAATTGAAACCATAGGGATCTTCCATGAGATCGGAAAAAAGTTAGGGACTGAAGTTGATATTCATGGAAACCACAGGGACCATTTATCAAGATTTGTCTTAATTTATTTATAATAGCATCCTACTTTTAATTTTTTTTTTTTAATTTACATATTTTTAATGTACCTGAGCAGCCCCAAGAGCTATGGTTGCAAGCATTGACCGGTCACCCCATTCCTACAAATTTGCAATCACATTTATTATTTTTTTAATGAAAAATAAACAGCTTCATATCCAAAAAAGAATTGAAAGATAAATAGTTTTAAAATAGCATACCAACAAAAAGATTATAAAGATCAACATTTTTAGAAAGTGGTGTGATAAAGGCTTAAATACAAGAAATAGTAACATTCTTTCTTGAATTCTTTTTATAGCATTCTACCTCCATTTCTTCTTATTAGAGCATTGTGCTTTAAAAAAATCTACCAAATTATATAACAATAAGAATACAAAGATCAAGACTTTTAACATAGCAGTGTAACAAAGGGCTAAATGCAAGAAATAGAAATGTATTTTCATTAATTTCTTTCTATTACAACATTGTACTTTGAAAAACATACCAAATTATATCAATGTCATCTAAATACAAAACAATTTTCACTGCTATAATTGGATATGTTTTTCCAACCACAACACCATGATACAAAATAAAAAAACAAAAAGTATAATATTGTAAAAAAAAAAAAAAAAAAAGAAGAGGATTACCGCAAAAAATACAAGACTGAATGACTTCCAAATGATTTCAAAAGGATTCTTGAGCTGTTTAGATGCCTGCATGTATACCAAATATTTATTTAAAAAAAAAAAAAAAAAACTCAAATTGTTAATATAAGTCAAATGAATGATCATTAATCACCTTTTCTTTCACCAATTCCTCAGCTTCTGCATATTCATCAAGTTCATTACTATTTTTCTCACCATTTTTAGCATTACTTGATGGAAGATCCCATGCATCCTTTATAGCTTTAAGACCGAAGAACATCAAAAGAGTCACTGCTGCATACTCTCCAATTGGCAATGCTGCATAAACCATGGAAAATTAGATATATTTTACAAAAAAAAAAGCAAAAGAAGATGAAAGTACAATGCTGTAATGGAAATATAGAAATATTTACTTGTCTGGAATTGAGCTGGAACCGAATTAAAAATCCTTCCAATTATGACCGAAAAAACAGTCATAAGTGATAAAGCACCCATTGATCCCAAAATAACCTGATCACAATTTTCGAATCCATAAAAGTTAATGAATTGGATGCAATGAACATGACAGGTTGTCAGGTTGTACTGTGTTTGACATGCAGTGGACTGGGACTGAAACTGATGTAAATGGGACAAAATCTGTCGTTTTTTGTCCCATTCAAAAAGGTGGAAAAATGATTGGCTGTCAATCTCCTTGAAAGGTTGTATTGTAATGTCCAGTGAAACAAATTTATTGGAGATATGAGGAGATCGTACCAGTCCTTTATCATATTGCATGGCCAATAAAGCTGCAATGAAAAACGTCTGATCAAGTAAAGGAAAGTGGATATTAGTTGCTAATTAAGTTTAAATATAAGTTTATGTAAGGAAGTAATTAGTATGTGGTGGATATTTAGATACCTTATCTCCAATTTCGGAAACAAAAATTAATGTAAAAGCAGCTGTGAACCCTGACTTTGCGATTGCTGCTAAGAGAGAGGGAGGTGCACCCTTTCCAAAGGCGATTATTGAAAATACTAAAGCACATCCGGATAGCACAAGGGCTATTGAGACTGGATAACGAATTTGATCTGGAAGCTTTTTACTGTCAAACACATCGTAAAATAATTTAAAAGAGATTTATGGTTTGATGGAATGGAATAACAAAGGAATGGAATAGAAAGGGTAATGGAATTAGTCATTGCGTTTAGGGATGCAAACGGGGGAGGATATTAGCGGGTACTACAATCTCCATCCCCATACCCATACACCACTCATCACGCCCGTCCCCACCCACTACCCGCCTAATACTCGACGGATTCGGGTGAAAAAATTACGAGTTGAAAAATTCCATTTTCGAGACACGAGTCGACAACTATGCCAAATGGTGTTTCTTTTTCATGCCATTGCATTCCATGATGGCATGAAAAAGAAACACCCTTTGGCATAGTTGTCGACTCATGACTCGAAAATTGAAAATTTCAACTCGTGACTCGACTCGTAATATATATATATATATATATATATATATATATATATATATATATATATATATATATATATATATATATATATATTGCATTCCATGATGGCATGAAAAAGAAACACCCTTTGGCATAGTTGTCGACTCATGACTCGAAAATTGAAAATTTCAACTCGTGACTCGACTCGTAATAATATATATATATATATATATATATATTGCATTCCATGATGGCATGAAAAAGAAACACCCTTTGGCATAGTTGTCGACTCATGACTCGAAAATTGAAAATTTCAACTCGTGACTCGACTCGTAATAATACATATATATATATATATATATATATATATATATATATATATATATATATATATATATATATATATATATATATATGCATTCCATGATGGCATGAAAAAGAAACACCATTTGGCATAGTTGTCGACTCATGACTCGAAAATTGAAAATTTCAACTCGTGACTTGACTCGTATATATATATATATATATATATATATATATATATATATATATATATATATATATAATGTTTTAGTAATGGTGCATTAATATTCAACACACACACACACATATATAATGATTTAGTAATGGTGTGTGTGTATATATATATATATATATATATATATATATATATATATATATATATCTATATATATGATTTAGTTAGAACTTGTGACTCGTTACTTGCTCAAAAATCATACAAAATATCATATAATATCTAACAATATCATAAGTGTATTTATGTTTTGACTATTTTATAGATTAAGGTAATATAATATAATATCTACTATTAATAACCTTATATTTGTCTTTTTTATTGCTACTAGTTCCTACATCCTCTTTAAGACATTCATGGACATCCATCACCGAGATATCTTCCGGTAGACATGCATCCTCCCTCTCGGTGATCTTTCATCATCCAAATCCATATCCGATAAAGAAATAGGATCATAGGTTTCTCCTTTATATCATCTTTTTTCAAGCCTCGTATTTAAGATTAATATTGTATTTTACAAACACTAAAGCATTTAACCATTCTTGCTCTAAACCGTTTCTCTTTGGAGTGTACATGGTCAAATGTACTACAATTTCTCTCACATCCCGTGACAATACATGTGAGGCTCAGCACAAGAACGGCTAGATATTGAAGTTTCGGGCACTCATTTTCATAGTCTAACCATCGCTTTGCGGGTTGTATCTTCATTCTCATTACTTTGTTTTAGATAAACCAAACATTCCAATGCTTTCATTGAACTTATCAAGTTACCCATGAATTTTTATGTTTGTTGGTCTATCATACATCTTCTCAATAACGATGTATAATCCAAGTTTAACTTCATAATTAGCACAAAAGTTCTTATCAAAGTGAAGACTATTTTTAAATTTAAAATAACATAATTATTAGTTCATTATATATAAAGTAAAAAGTATTTTTATTTTCATAAAAAGAAGTGAGACCTTGGATTAAGATAATATCTAGCAACATCAAGGGGCTCTATAGAGTTACATATCCTATTTCAGATCAATCTTTTTCCCATATGTATTTATATCTTGCTTCAACGCCTCTTTATTTTCTCTTTTGCACGATTCATGGCTATATATATATATATATATATATATATATATATATATATATATATATATATATATATTCTGGTTCCGGTGATGACTCTTTTTTCAGTGAAGACACCTTAAAAAAATTGAAAAAAAAATACAAATCATAAAATCGAGCATATTACTATATTGGAGAGAAAAAAAAATTGGAAAAAAAAAATTGGATCATTAAAATTGAATCATGGATCATAAAAAGTGAATCATGGATCATAAAAATGATCCATGATTCAATTTTAATGACCCAAAATTTTTTTCTAATTTTTTTTCTCTCCAATATTGTACTATGCTCGATTTTATGATTTGTATTTTTTTTAATTTTTTTAAAGTGTCCTCACAAGTCCTCATATATATATATATATATATATATATATATATATATATATATATATACACACACCCCATTGCAAGTTTTACATCTCCATCCATAAGACTTATTACTTTATAAATAGAAATTACACATCTCAAACAATATTTTGAAATATTTATATGCTCAAGAATCATTTTAGAATGATATTACTAATAACATATGTTTCTAAAGGGTCACACCAATAACAAGTTGACACAAATAGATTCTGTATAAGAATTTTATTCTTGATAAATATTCATAACTCTTATAGTTAATTGGAAATCATTTATTTTTTGAAATATTAATTTCAAATGCTAAGTATCATAATATATTATAATGTACGATATATAAATCAATGTATATCTTTTTGGATTAGAAAAACTTTTGTCTTTTAATTAAAATATTATGAGTTTATATCTTATTTGATTGTATTTTTATAACGATCTGTCTTTTCTTCTTTTTGCCGTGAGCTAATAAAAGAGGAGACAAGATATGGTTTCTTGATTATTTTATTAGGAAAGACATTCTTCAAAAGCATGTTTTGACAATATGATTAAGCATGAGATGTTAACTCATGAAACCTTTTTAAAGTAAGAAATGAGATAGCAAATCTTGTAACTCCCGCTCGAGTTAGTTCTTGATCATCGATAAATCTTTGAAATATTAATAGCAAAACACCATGTCGATAGATGTACAAAGTGTACTTTCTTTTGTTTTATCTATGGTGTGCTTGAAGGTTTTACCATCTTTGATATCTTGTAACATCAAGTCGATTAAATGTGCAGCACACGGTGATCAAAATAAGCAAGGTCTTTTACTTTCCAAGATGGTACCGCCTAACACATACGTCGAAGCATTGTTGAAAAGTAAGAGACCTCGCCTGTTTTGGTCATCGTTTGCTGCACAATTAATGGAGTTGATGTTACAAGATATTGGAGACGGTAAAACCTTCATGGACACAATAGAAAAGGCAAAGAAAATAACCGTGTATATCTATCGACATGGTGTTTTTCTATCAATGTTTCTAACGTTTACCGGTGATCGAGAACTAACTCGATCGATAGTTACAAAATTTGCTACCTTATTTCTTACTTTAAAAAAATTTCATGAGTTAAAGACTCCTATTCGGGAGTTGTTTGCTTCAAAAAGTGGGCCGAATGTAACTTTGCTTCTATAAATAACGGGAAGTTGGTTGAAAATATTGTTCTTGTTGATGTTAACTTTTGAAAGACAATAAAATATATCTAAATTGTGTAATTCCCATTTACAAAGTATTGAGGCTTATAGATGGAGATGTAAAACATATAATGGGGTATATATATATAAAGCCATGGATTGTGCAAAAAAGCAAATGAAGGAAACTTTAATGGCGTTGAAGTAAGATATAAATCCATTTGGGAAAAAGATTAATCTGAGATGGGATATGCAACTCCACGGGCCCTTCATGTTGCATGATACTATTTTAATCAAAGGTCTCACTTCTTTTTATGAAAATAGAAATACTTATTACTTTATATATAATGAACTAATAATTTATGTTATTTTAAGTTTAAAAACAACCTTCATTTTCATGAGACTTTTGGACCTATTATAAAGTCAAACTTGGATTGTACAACATTATTGAGAAGATGTATGATAAACCAACAAGCATAAAACTCATTAACAACTTGATAAGTTTAATGAAAATATTGGAATGTTTGGTTTATCTGCAACCAAAGCAATGAGAAAGATGTTCCAACCAACAAAGGGGTGGTTGAACTATGGAAATGAGTGTCTAAAACTTCAACAACTAGTTGTTCGTTAGCTAAGCCTTAGATGTAGTGCCAAGGGATGTGAAAAAAATTGGACTACATTTGACCATGTACACTCCAAAAAGAGAAATTGTCTAGAGCAACAAATGTTAAATGCTTTAGTGTTTGTCAAATACAATATTAACCTCAATACGAGGCTTGAAAAGATACGAGAACAAGGAGAAACCTATGATCCTATTTCTTTATCGGATATGTGGATTCAGATTCAGATGATGAATAGATCACCGAAAAGGAGGATACATGTCTCCCAATAGTTATCTCATGGATGGATGTCCATGAATGTTGTAAAGAGGATATAGCAACTAGTAGCAATAAAAGAAAAAGAGGTAAATATTACGCTATTAATAGTATATATTATATTACATTCCCTTGATTTATAAAATAGTTAAAACATAAATATACTTATGAATTTTAATTGTCTCTAAGGCCGAGGAACCTAAACAAGGTCCTAATTGCGAATGACATACGCAAAACGATACAGATGATGACTTTCAAGTTTAGGATGATCTGGAGAGAGATGAAGTTGGAGTCCATGAAATACCTATTAATCTAGAAGATAAAGATGATGTGTGACCACTTTGAAGTTTAATAGTGATACAGATGATGATTTTCACTAGTTATGACATTGTTAGATGTTATATGATATTTTGTATGATTTTTGAACAAGTAACAAGTCACAGGTTCTAACTTGTGAACTTGCAATGTTTTAGTAAAGGTGCATCAATATTTAACACGTATTATATATGTATATATATATATATATATATATATATATATATATCGTGACCCTTACGAGTCAAGTCACGAGTTGAAAATTTCCATTTCAAGTCACGAGTCGACAACTATGATTATATGTAAAATCAGTACATAAATTCAACTCTATTCTATTCATTACTTCGGTTATGATTAATGAAGTTTTTAACAATAAAAAATCAACATCATAACCCAAATAAGTTCAAAATTTTATATTTTTTTGTTAATTCAATAAAATGAAATTTTAATTAAATTAAAATAATAAAAAAGTTAGAAAAAAAAAAAAACCTTTTTCATTAAACAATATATAAATAAATTTCGATTATTGCACTTTTTTATGGAATGAGAAAAAAAAAACACCCTCTAACATCAGGTAAAACAAACAAGTTGTTCCCATTCCTATGGAATGAACTATTCCATTCCTTCCCTGATTCCATCATTACCAACACTATCTTAAATTATGCTCTCAGGGATTATCTCATAACATTTGGATTATATCACTCATCTTCAAATTGGTGTATAGATAACAATCATTCCCATTTCCCAACTTAATAAGCAAGAAAAAAAAAATTCAATCTTTACAAGAAAAGATTCAAATCCCAAAGCTCATTTGTTCCCCATAATTGAATCACCTAGAAAACCCCTAAAGCAATATAATCAAAATTCAGAAGAGAACTCACATTGGTGAACTTTCATTGTTTTGATCATTAGTAGACAAATTTTGGTTATCATTTCCATCTCTCTCTGCATAGCCCCCAGAACTAGCACCAACATTAAATGCATTTGCTGTAACTCTGTTGCCTCGCAGTTTCAATATATCTCTTCTTTCAACTGTATAAAGAAGAAAATTCCATTAATTTTATGCATTTCCTTTTATTTTAACAGCATTCATCTTCATAATGGAATCGTTTTCTGGTTGAGTTCCAATCAAAATAAACCCTCGAAATTCTCAAACTAGATAAAACCCCAGAATAGTAAAGTACACTCACGCATTCGAGAGTGAATTACGGATACGAAACTAAATATCTGTTGATTTTATACAAAATTAAGAGAAATTATGCAGGATGTAGCAGAAAACATGAAATTTTAGAACTGAAATGGAAGAGAAAACTTACATGATGACGATGAAGAGGACGAACATGTCGTTCTTGTAGATAAATCAGCAAAGAAAGGCGAAGAATCTGGACATACCAATAAAGGCAGCTTCGGTCTTGTATTTGATGACACCAATACTGGTGTTTGATGGAGAATTAGGCCTGTCATCTCTATGGCGAAGTGGGGTTTCACTTATAATTTCAGATCCATTTCTTTCAGTAAATGCATCTGAACCAATCGAACTGTGTGATACTGGAACTTTGATGTTAAATGGGTGAAGAAGAGAATGAAGAGGGTATAACCAGTGTTGTTGATGATGAGGATTGAGGAATCGGATACCAACAATTCTATCTTTTGTTGGGGGGGGGGGGGGGGGGGGGGGGGGGGGTGGGGGGGGCAAAAGTATGCTTTGTTGCTAGAGTCGTGGGAGATTTGCCGTACGGGATGGTCGGGTGGATAGAGAAAGAAAAGATAAAGTGATGGCAAATTGGCAGGTTTCTAGAAACGACGTCGTTGGTCTTGTTGGGCAATTGGGTTATTTATGATTGGATGAATGTTGATGTGAGTTACTTGTAGGTGATCTCGTTTTCTTGAATATCAGCATCTACATTAAACATGACACTAGAATTTTCCAAATGTAATCAAGACACATTCTAGTGTCAAATAATACTAAAAAATCGTTTTTTCAAAATTAACCAATAAATTCATAGAGAGTCTTTTATGGAATTGTTTTGTATTATGAAGTCAAGCTAACAGTCAATTTTAGGGATATTTTCGTAGTTTTGCTTAGTCTACAGGTGCCTGAGTTTGTAAAATGAAGTATTTGTTGTTATTTCTCACTCATGCAAGAGTTTGAGGTTATTATATAGTGTTATGGACTTAGGGTTTGGTTTTGGGCTCTATTAAGCCATACAAAATCTTAAAGTTGACGACATTATCAATTAAGACCTTCCCAAGATCAAGATATGTGATTCGGACGTTTAGTCTTTAAGTATTAAGAGCTTAATAGTGGATTTTGGCATCAGGGGGTTACGCATGGCGTAACCCTAGAGTACGTAGTGCGTAACGGGGTATGCCTCGTTTTCTTTTCTGTGGAAACTCAGTACGCAGGGTGTACTCCCAAAAGTGGGAATAAGTCATTTTAGGCTTTGGGCGAAGTTGGGTGGGTTTAGCCTTGGAAGGGTAAAATGATCTTTTACCCTTAGTGAGAGAGAATATGAAATGGACCTTAATTATGATTACCACTCTACTTCTTAATTAGGGTTGGTTTTAATATATATAGTGTGCGGAGATTCTTGGACCAGCAGCTCAGGTGTGAGAGTTATATGTTATTGATTGAGGCGAGTCTTTAAACTATATTGTAGGACACTAGGTGTCGTATGTGCTTGCTGTCTTTGTGACTCTTGTTGTATACTTCTATGCCTGTATGTTATATGTATTTGGGGTGAAACAGACCCGTTCGGTTGAAAAACACCAATTGAGTCGAAAGGGACTCAGAGAGTTTTAAGGGACTCAAGGGTGAAATAGACCCGTTTGGTTGCAAAACACTGATTGAGTCGGAAGGTACTCAGAGAGTCGGAAGGTACTTAAGGGTGAAATATACTCGTTACAGCTTTACGCTAATATGTATGTATGGTATGAGGTATTTTGGGGAACTCACTAAGCTTTGTGCTTACGGTTTATATTTAAAATGTTTTTCAAGTACTTTTGGTTCGAAATGGAAGGGCCCGGCATGATCACATAGCATCCACCAGTGTTCCACATTTTATAGTTTTGGATTGTACTCTGATAACTATTTTCTACATTGTCACACTTTAATGGTTTTAAAATGAATGATTGATGGTTTTGGTTGACTTAAAAGTAAAAAAAAATTACTTAGTATTTTTTAGGATGTTACAAGTTGGTATCAGAGCCTTGGTTTGAGGGATTCGGGCACACTCCCGGGTGTGTCTGAACTCAAACTGAGGAATTGGTAAGAAGAAAAGATTTTCCAAAGGGTTTTTATAAAAGAATAGGTGTGATGCATGCAATCGGCCGAGATCAAGTAAGTATTTTCCAAAATACCCATACATGTTTATCTGTTTTCAGTATGTGTGTATGTGTATAGCATGCTAGAATAAGGCTAAGGATTTGCTCAGAATTGTGTAATGGAATGTTAGGAGAGATGCCTTTGTATGCCTACTGTATGAGCCTCTAGATCTGCATGCTAGAATGGATTACTGATGGTATGATAGAGTGGCATGATTAGGCAGTGCACTAGTTAGCACGTGATGCTTGAATGTTGCATGCTTTGTGCTCTTAGGAACCTACACTAGTATCAATTAACTATCAAACAAATATGCTAGGTTACATGTTACAGACATTAGATAATTTTAGAAGGCTGGGTTTAACTCTATTGTGTAGCTTTTGTGTGAGTCCAACCGTTGTAGTGTGTGTAACATCTTGTTATGAATTGATTACTAGTACGAGGCTGTGGCCCGAAGATCGTTCATCATAAGGATTAGGGCTTTTGAAAAGGTAGGTTCTAGGCTATTTGGGTGCGGGTGATGTATTATAAGTGATCCGGGTGTTCGTTTCGTGTTTTGGAGCCAAGGTGTATTTCGGTAAAGTGTCAGTTGGGCTTTTGTGGAAAATGGATTTTTGTTTGGAAGGTCTTAAGAAAGGTATGATTTGATAGAAGTGTAGGGCTTCTCGTTACCTTTCCGTTGATATAAGGATCGTCGGAATCGGGCTTATAACGAAGAAGTTATGGCCTTCGGAAGTTTCATGGTTTTCAGGCTTAGCCGAGTACACGGGGCGTACACAAAGTGTACGCGGGGCGTACTAGTGAAGAAGGTAGTACGCGGGGTGTACCTTGGAGTACGCTGGGCGTACTGACCAGGATGGTCGCGAATGTTCCCCGGAGTACGCGGGGCGTACCATATGTATGTTGGGCGTACGCCAGTCAGATCAGAACCCTATTTTAGGGTCTTGGACCCCATTTAAGCTCCTTATCTCATAATCTAACCCTAATATCTTCAGCCTCCACCCTCTAAAACCCTAGAAATCGTTATATATCATTCATGGTGGCATTTTGAGCTTATGGAGTCCATTTTTGGAGTATTTGGCCCATTCTCAAGAAGATGGAGTTTGATGCAAAGATGGGGATCAAAGAGGAGCTTATGGATCTGGCTTTTGGGACTCATTTTCAGCTTAATGAAGGTATAAAGCTTTGAACTTGATCATCTATCTCTTAGATCTTCCATGTATGGGTTTTAGTTCATTTTGGTCCCAAGTATGAGATTTAGTGGTCTTGAATTTATTCCAGAAGCTTTGAGTTGCCCCTCTTAGTGTCTTTTGAGGTTCAAGGTCCATAAAGTTGGTACCTTTAGAGTTTAAGACCATCTATGTGGGATTTTGAGTCATTTCCATGAAAGAAGAATGTTATTTGGTCCTTGTGGGGCAAGCAAAGTCACCAAGTCAGTGACTTTATGGGTTTAGACATTATGTGGGACTCAGATATGTGGTTTGGACTTATGGCTTAAAGAATTGAGTGCTTAATGGCAGAAATGGATCTAGAGGGTAGTACGTTGGGCGTACAAGCAAGTACGCGCAGCGTACAAGCCAGTAAGCGAGTACGCTCAGCGTACTGCTGAGTACGCCCTGCGTACTCAGTCAGGTTGGATTTCAGACTTTTGGGCTTAGGGTTTGGTCCATCTGTTTGGGCCTAGATTCTTGGGCCCTAATGGACTATTAGGGTGGTTGTTTTCTAGACAAATTGAAGGATTGGATCTTAGGATGAGGCCCAATAAGGAGTATGGTCCCAATTTGGAAAATTGGGCCATTAATGGGCCTTTATGGATCTTATGGTTTTGGATTGCGTGAATTGGGCCCTATTGGGCCATCAGGTTTTGGGGTTGATATTTATTTGTGGAGGCCATTATGGTTTTGAGCGCAATTTAGAAAATTGGGCCATGGATTGGGTGTTAGGAAGTTTTTGGTATTGGGCCTTGTGGACTATTAGGTTTGGGCCCAATTTGGAAAATTGGGCCATTAGTGGATTAATTGGCCTTTGGGGCCTTTCAGATTATAGCTTGGGCCAAAGTTTTGGTCAATGGATAGAATAGGGGTATAATGGTCTTTTTACCCCGGGTATGAAGTTATAGTTATGTATTAGAACCCAATTGCTAATTGGGTATATTAATTGGTAGTGATAGCTCGGGAAGCTAGCGGGGCAACAGCTAAGGATGTCATTCGGGAAGCTTCTGCATTCGAGGTGAGTCTTCTCACCATACCAATGGGTCTAAGGCACCAAGGCCGGCCCATTTATCTAGTTGTGATGATTGTTACGGATGTGCTATTGATACATTATGTATTTATGTGAAGACCATGCGGGGGGGTTCCCATTGCAAATAGTTATATATGCGGTATGCTAGTTGATTGTGTAGTATCTGGTATGCTAGTCGTCTTTGTGATACTTGCATGGAAGACCCCGAGGGGGTTCCCGAGGCAGTTGGATATAAGACCATGTGGGGGTTCCCATGGCTTTCCAGGCTAAGACCATGTGGGGGTTCCCATGGCAGTGGGCTAAGACCACGTGGAGGTTCCAGTGGCACCCGGTGTAAGACCTTGGAGGGTTTCCAGGGCATCCTTATATGTTTGTATGTTTAGCTCATATGTTTGTATGTATGGTTTGATTGGTATTTAGAGAAGACCATGTGGGGGTTCCCATGGCAGGAAGACCATGTGGGGGTTCCCATGGCAGATAAGACCACGTGGGGGTTCCCGTGGCACGGTGTAAGGCCCTGGAGGGTTTCCATGGCTTCCTTATATGATTTTATGCAGGACTTATGTGATATATGTAGATTTTATAGCTAATATGATATGTATTATGTGGATTGTGCGTGGGGTATGCTCTGGGGGACTCACTAAGCTTTGTGCTTACGGTTTACAGTTTTGGTTTCAGGTATCATCGATTTGGAAAATAAGGGACCGGATTGATCACAGTGCACACACCTATGATTTCCGTAACGAATGATTTTGGGATGAAATCTGATAAATGTTTTACTCAATGATTATTTGAAATGTTTGAAATAAATGGTATCAATGTTTTAGCTAAATTAAAAATGAAATTTTTACCCTTGATTTTTGGGTCGTTACAAGTTGGTATCAGAGCCTTGGTTTGAGGGATTCGGACATACTTTCGGGTGTATCAGAACTCAAACTGAGGATCTGTAAAGTTTTCAAAAGAAAAATGTTTTTAAGAAAAGTTTTCTAAGACAAGAAAGGGTATGGTGCATCAATCAGCCGAGCTCAAGTAAGTTTCCCCAGAAT